GCTTTAAAATCCACGTGGTCTTGGGTGACAACCCAGAGCTCTGATCTCCAACCCCAGATGGATGTTCTTGGAGAGCTGGAAACAGCTGGAGACTGTTTTGTGTGCTGGTGTAAAAGGCATTGGGATCCTTCTGAAACGTGGCAGTAGGAGAAGTGCAGATGCAACCAGGTTTGTTGAGGATTTGTAACTCCTTTAGAGTAATATCAATAACAAGGGATGGCAGGTTTCAGAAGGAAAAAACCCTTGGAATGGGACTGGTCAAGAGTGGACCAAAAGGACATAGTACGTCTGGCCTATGGCATCTGTTTTGGGAGAAAGAACCCAAAATAAATATTCTAAAAGTATTAACATTTCTCTATTGACTTTAAATGTGACCAGGAACGAATGTTTCATATCCCTTCCATTCCTTTCCCAAATCTTCCCTTCCCTTTTCATCTAGGGAAAAAACCCAACACACTCTTGTGGGATATTAGTGAGCTGATCTAAGGAAACATAGGGAGGTGGAAGATTCAGAGATATTCCACTGCCCTCCAGCAGAAAAAATAATCAGTGGAAATATTGTCTGCTCTGGACAGAGCTGAACACTTTTGTTGGTGAGGCAGAAGAGCTTGAGGAAGACTAAAAATGCCAGAGCTCAAGTCCCCAAGTCCAGCTGGGTCATGGAATGACTGTAGACAGGTCTTTGTCTTAGTCCTACAAGTTCCCTGACTTGTTCCCCCTCTCTCCATCTCATATGGAACATTGGCTGAGGCAGAGGTTAATTTTTGTGATTTTTGTGATTGAGGATTCACCTTGCCCATTTGCAAGCCAAGATGCCTCTGGCATCACTGTTCCCTACAGCCCTGCAGGAATGAGGAGGGACCACAGGCACCTGAGAGGCTGCACCACCCAGGCTGGTGCCAAAAGCATCTCAGGAGCATGTGGGTTGGGTGAGAAGGCAGAACAGATGGTTGTGGATGCTGTGTTTAGAAACATGGGACAGGGAGGTGCGGGAGAATTCAATAACTTTAAGGTCGTGCATCCAGTGGAAATTCAACCCATGTGTCCTGCATGACAGTCCACTAGACCTGGCTTTTCTTCTTGTAGCCCTTGGCTGGAGAGCAGCACAAGCTGGGGCTGGTAACAAGAATTTGGAAGGAAGAGCCTGTGGTTCATGCAGTGGACAGGTGGACCAGTCACACAGAGTTATCATCTGTGGGGAAAATAACTCTGCCCAAAGGGCTCAGGATGAGTCAGACTAAGGATGCTGTAACTGGATAAAAATACCTGTGCTTTCTTGCAGTTCAGCTAATCCACACCAACAGTTCAGTGGGATTTACTTCCCTATGACAACAAGAGCACAGACTCATGGGATTTTAGGGCAAAAATGCACCAGGTACATCTTTAACAAAAGATGATTTCAGTGAAATCTCTTGGCCGCCTTTGTCCTCTGCTCCACTCAAATTGACTTTCACCCATTTCATCTTAGGAGAAGAATTAATTTGGGGAGTGAATATGCAGCAGGTTGCTCTTCTCTGGGCAGATACCTGTCTCCAAGCAGGCAGCAGGGGGGCTGAGGTCAGCAGAGGCAGCTGAATTTTCATTAGGAACAGATCCTTTTATCACGGTTTACAGCTCAGGACACAGAAATCAGGAAGGACATCGGGCTGCTGCTTTTAACCTTTGTTGTGTCTTTATTCAGTGTGTGACATCATCCTATTGATGAAGGTCAGGTTGATCTCAGGTCTTTTCTGACTCATTGAATATTAGGGATGGCTGGAGGCAGGAGAAGCCAGTGATTTGATGTGACAGGTCAGGAGGGAGCACACCAGCAGTGCAGCAGGACACGGGCTGCAGGAAGGGGTGATGCCATGATCCATTGTGACAAGAGGAGAGCTGGATGGATGGACCAACGGCCTGGAATGAACCCAGCAAGGGCAGGATAGAAAGAGGCAAAACCCTGAAAACCCTTTGGTCTGTGTCCACTCCCACTTCAATGGGACAAATCCAGAATGACCTTCCTTAGCTGTCGATGGGATCACAGATTTATTGTGTGAGATTTGTGACATCATGAAGCAAGACTCTTCCTTAAAGTACATCTCATTTCGCCCCCTGCCATGGGCAGGGACACCTTTCACTATCCCAGGTTGCTCCAAGCCCTGGACTTAAACACTTCCAGGGATCCAGGGGCAGCCACATCTTCCCTGGGCTGCTTGTGCCAGCCCTCCCCCCCAGCTTCCCCCTCACAGTAGAGCATTTCTTCCTAATGTCTAACCTAAACCTACCTTATTTCAGTATAAAGCCATTAATCCTCTGTCTAAAGATGCAGGGCACTTGTGAACTGCAGTCCAGGCTGGATCCAGGATGTGGCCATCAGAGCTGGAGAGGAGCAGGAGCAAGGACTCTGCTCTGCAGATCTGTGGCCATGGAAAAGAAAGGCAGGAGGCAGGAGCTGTGGTATCCACCACTCCACTGCTTGGCCAACCCGGAACTTGCATTTAGCAAAATATGCATTTAAAAGACGCCAGGTTTGCTCCCAGGTGATTTTTCCTGGCCCTTCCTCCAAAGGTCTGTTTCTCATGCATTCAGCATCTGAGTATTTTGAGAAATTCCTCCAGGCTCAGGAAGGCAGGGACAGTTGGGAGCTATTTCCTTTCAGCCCTCTTGCCTTCTCATCCTAGGAAATTTTGTGCCAGCTGTGGTCACCTGTTTGATTTCTCTTTCAGTGGCTGCCTTCCTCCACAAATTAATTTTGATTATTTAAGCTTGTCTTGCCTGGCAGGGAGGGATCTCTTAGTGGTGTGAGTTTGAAGAACTCACTCTCTATATCCTTCTCTTTTTCCCCTGCACCGAGTCTAATTTTGTGGTTCCCTGCCTTGCCCAAAAATAACCTTCAGCCCCAATTCTGAACTGTCATATTCATTACATCCCAGCTGTCTGCAGACAGGGCTTATCACTTGCAATCCACTCAGTTACACTTGTGATTAAAACTGATTGCAAATGTGATCCTGGCTGCTCAGCCTGGAAATTGGGAACGTCTTTATAATTTCTGACAGCGGATCATGAAGCCTTGGATGAGCCTGGCAGGGCTGCAGAGCCAGGACAAGATCTTTGCAGGTCGGTGGGGGTGGGAGGAGAATATTCATCTGTGAGAAAGAGAGAGGAGATGGTGATTTGGGAGGAAAAAAAACATGTAGAAGAGATGAGGATGAAGATCCACAAGTTGAAACCTGAAAAGGCAGGGGATGAAAACTAAGCTCAGCTCTTGACTGCCAGGACCATCCCTGGGAATAGGTGATGGAGGCAGTTGTGTAGCAGAGAAAACCAGACCACATAAACCTTCACTCAGTTTTGGGCACCAGTAACTCATGGAATCAGTGTAGATGTTCCTGGGAAAACAACTGTTGTGCTTCTTCCCAAAAACAGTAGCAGCATGTCATAGTCTGCAGGACTCTTCTGTACCTACTTCTACTCCAGCCTGTTCCCTTTGCAAACCTGGAGCCATTTGTCCCCTGTTTGATCAGAGTAGGGCTGCAAAATTGTGCTTTGCAAGAGTGATGGAGCCTTGAATGTGATCAGAGAGTTTGTACCTCACTCCAAACCTGAAAAGGGCTCCACCATCTATTTGTTGGCCTGAATTTCACAGCTTGATTTCACAGATTTATGTACCTAAAATTAACTACAGAGTTTACATTTATTTAATCTAATCTTTGCTTTATATCATAATCCACTTTTTTTTTCCATTGAGGGTCCAGTGCCTTGTGTTGAACTGAAGCCTGATTTCCAGAGTTTGTTCTGAAGAGACTAAAAATCCACTGTTTTCTTTGGGGGCCCTTTCCAGCATGTTAAATCCTCTCCCTGATTCACCTCAGTCTTTATTCCCTCCAGCCTGACTTGAATTATACTTCGTTCCCTCTCTGAAGAGAGTCTCCCAACATCTCCATAAGGAGGTGCCTCTCCAGCTTCCTTGTTATCAACTGAACAGGGTAAGTGGTTTTTGACATATTTCCTGGTCAGAGAGTGTCTTCCAGACTTTTGAGTCACTTTTATTGCCCTCCTCTGATGTCTCTCCAAGCATCGGATGTTCCCTTGCAGGCACAGACATCAGAACTGGGTGTCCCCAATTCCTCCATACCCAGATGTAAAATGACTTGCCTTGTCTAACTCAACATGCCCCTGTTTGTGCATCCAAAAGCTGAATTAACTCTTCTGTTGGATTTAGGGCATTGCTTTAAGACCTTTCTTCAAATAATTGGACTGGCCTGGCTGTCTTGGAGCTGCTGCTTTCCAGCACAGGCTCTCCCCCTCCTGCCCATTCTCCAAGGGGTTTTTTGTTTATCAAAGGAAACCTTTGCAGAGAGCTACGTCTGTGCCCTGTGATCATCTCACTCCAGGCATGGAACTGATGTGCTCCATGTGCCAGGAGCCCCGTCACAAACATTGTCCTGTAGTGAGCACAGACACAAAAAAATAGTCTTTTTTTTTTTTTTTTTTTTTTTCCTGCAGATTTTCTCTGTATCAGCAGAAGCTCTCAAATTATTGAGATCCCTGGAAGTGTTCAAGGGCAGGTTGGATGGAACTTAGAGCAACATGGTCTAGAGGTAGGTTTCCCTGCCCATGGCACGGGTTGGAACGAGGTGATCTTTAAGGTCTCTTCCAGCCCAAACCATTCTGTGAGTCTGTGTTTGTTGGTTATAAATCAGAGCTTGGCCGAGTCAGCCCGTGTCATTCATGTGTAAAAACACATTTTCCTGATGTTCCTGCAGAGCTCATTTTCTAAGCCTCATTAGTATTCATGTTAATTTGCATACCCAGAGTGCACCGCGGGGCGGCAAGTGCAATCCTGGTAGAAATTTTCATTTTTTTCGTGAGAAAACTGGGGTCAGAACATGGATCTTAGTTATTTCTCGGATGAGGAGTCCAGCTGGAGTGGTAAAAGGTTGAATTTGGGGTTTCTCCACGGTCAGCATGTGCTAGAGGGGCAGCCATGGGATGGTGTGTATGTGGAATGATTCTAAACTGTACTCTGGTTTTTCTTCATATTGTGTAAATCTTTTACCTTTTACTACTGATATCCGTGGAGAGGAACAACCATAAGTGGAAACAAATTTTTTGAGGCTTCACAAAGGTGGAGCTGCCCTTTTGTAGTGAAAAAAACAGAAAAAAGTTTAGATACAACTGTAATAACTTAAGGAATAAACAGGACAGAAGTTCTTGTTAAGGATTGCAAGGATATATGAGAGGTGGATCACTGGAATTTTCTGCATCCAAGTCTGGGGTCTTCAGCACAGGAAAGATGTGGAGCTGCTGGAGTGGGACCAGAGGAGGCCACAGAGGTGCTGTGAGGGCTGGAGCCCCTCTGCTCTGGAGCCAGGCTGGGAGAGCTGGGGGGTTCACCTGGAGAACAGAAGGCTCCAGGGAGACCTGAGAGCCCCTTCCAGGGCCTGAAGAGGCTCCAGAAGAGCTGGAGAGGGACTTGAGACAAGGGATGGAGGGACAGGACAAGGGGGAATGGGTTTAACTGAAAGAGAGTAGGTTTAGATGAGACACTGGAAGGAATTCTTGCTTTTGAGGGTGGGGAGGCCCTGGCACAGGTTGCCCAGAGAAGCTGTGGCTGCCCCTGGATCTCTGGAAGTGTCCAAGGCTAGGTTGGATGGAGCTTGGAGCAACCTGGTCTCATGGAAGGTGTCCCTGCCCATGGCAGCTGGTTGGAATTGGATGGTCTTTAAGGTTCCCTCCCACACAAATCATTCCATGATTCTGTTCTTATCTCTAAAACAGACCCTGGTGCCAAGGGAAAGAAATAGCTCCTCCTAGAGGGACATACCTCCAAAATTATGGGTAGGACTTGCCAAGCTAAGTTGTGTGTTCACTACAGTGGCACCTTTCTTGAAGTATTTTCCAGTGTTTGGGACCATTTTCATCATAATTAATTTTTAAGGTTAGAAAAAGAAGGTTGTACACCATTCACCTCCCCCCTCCCCTTTAAGAAACTGGTTTCCTGCCTTTATTCTTTTGCCTGCTCTCATTTCCTGCCTTCATTTCCCCTGCTTTTCAAAGAAGCAACATTTTCTGTGTGCAAGTGAGACCCAAGGTGATAAGTTTTCACTCCTAGAAAAAACCCTCCTTCTCTGGGTGAAGTGGCATCTGTGTAACAGCACAGGGAAATGTTATTATTTGTCCTGAACAGCCCAGAGTCAGCCCCTTCTTCAGCACAGGCTGCACTAATTGGGACACTAAGCAGAGCACTGCATTTATTTGGATTAATGAAGAACCAGAGGGAAGTGTCCCAGGTGGGAAGTGTCCAGGGCACACCACAGACCCTGCCACGAGATGCTTGGCTCTCAAGGTCCTAGCTTGAAGTGTGTGGCTGCCAACAAATCATTGCTGTCATCTTGGCCATGGTACAAACACCACAGACATCCGATCTTTTCCTTTGGCTCCTGCCCTGGAAGTCCCTCCTGTCATCATGTCACTGTGAGTGCAGTCACTCTCTAGATCATTCTCCACAATTTTGTGGCTGTTTTTGTGGTGAATTTGCCGCTCTGGAGACTCTAAACTCACCTTGAAGACCTGTGTGGACTTCCTGGGTATGTGAAGGAGGCTGGAGGGAAGATGCCTGGTTTTACAGACTGTTAGAAATGAAAATAAACTCTGTGGTGTTGAATCTATGGGAGGAGGATGATTGTTCTCTGCAAAGACACAGTTTGGAGAGACAGAACATTTCCACATCTGCTGTGGGATCTGCAAACAGTCCCTCTATGGCAGACACTCATAGCTACTCATCCCTCATATGAGTGGAACAAAAATGAGGGGAGTTTGCACCATCAGGCTCACATGTTCCTTTTATGACTTAGGCCTGCAGATCCAGCCTGGTGCCCAAAGCAGCCCCCTGCTTTTAAACAGAAAATGACAAAACTTACAAAAAATAAGGGGCAGAGGTTCCACTACAGGATACCTGGGACATTGAGTTTCAGTGCCTCAGCCAAAATTAACATTCAACTTGCAACCAAGAAGCTGCAAGTGACAGCAGCAGCTTTGAAGGTCACCTCGCCTCCACGTAAATAAATAAATAGTAAATAAGAAAGCAGGCAGCAATGAATAAAGCAGGCAAAGACAGAGGCATTCCACTGGCTTGGACTTGTGGGTTTTTTTTTTTATTATTTCTTCTCTGCTCTCTTCACTTTCATTTCCCAAAGGTCAGTGCTAATAGGAGACCCCTCTGATTGCTCATGCACAGTGCACACCCTGCCAGGCTGCTGTTCCAGAGCCCCTGATACCAATTCAGAGCCTAAGCTGGGAGCAAAACAGTGTCATCTCCACAGCTGATTACTTTAATGAGACTTTTCTAGCAGTACCAGGCCACGACAGGTGGGAGGATCTGCTGCAAACACTGTGTTTATCTCTTAGGGCAGAATCTGTGCCCTTCTTGCTAAAGAGAAGTTGTGGTGCCAGGTGTTTGTTTTCCGTGCTCCTCTCGGCCATGCCTAATGAGATCCTGGCTCTGCAAGCTCAGAGTTGACTTTTTCCAACGGTTTTTCCAGCTTGGCCACATGGCCAGGGAAGAGACAGTCTGAAATCACGCCAAAGCTATTTCTGATTGTGTCTGTGCCACGCCGGACCCATCTGCTGGATCTGGAGAGGTGCTCACAGAAGGAGGTGTGGGAGGTAGAGTCCTTTCTTCTTGAGCAGAGCATCCAAAGTCAAGTGGGGACTCTGCCTCACCTTTCAATGTGCCTGGTCTCCTGGGCATCCATCCTGCATGTGTGCTCCCACCTTCCAGGATGAGCCAGTGGCTCTCTGCAGGCTGAAATCTGGGCGAGCTGACAGGACCATTTCCCAGGGATGCTCTCCAGAGAGACGCGGTGCACACGCTGCACTAATTGAGCCCAGTGCTGTCCCAACAGACCATACTCATGCTGAGAAGTTTCTGTCACACTCCAGCTCACAAAACACATCCTCTGGCATCAAATTTTGAAAATAACACATGGTTGGGCAGGACAAAACCCTGTTGTTTTACCAGGACTAAATATTTTGTCACTGTCACCGGCTACTCCCACACATAGTCCAGCAGAAGTCAGAGCTGGATAATGGGAAAACTTTTTATCTTCCTAAAGGAAAATGCCCTTGGAACATGCTCATATTCCCTAACACACAGATCTTGTCCTTCTTGGTCTGCCCACTCACATCACTGGCACTGTCACTTTGAGATGAGAACAAACAATCCATCTACAGTAGAAGAGGCTGAGGACACTCACTCAACATCTCACCCTGCTGCTGTTCACCTCACCTGTTTGTGTTGGATAGATTTATATATAATATTAAATATACAAAAATATATATGTTAATATTTTATATATTATATGCATTTATATAAATACATGTTAAAAAGAGATGTCTTCTTAGGGAAAACTGGAGTAACCATGAGTCCCATCATAAGACCCTATAACTTCAAGAAGCAATGAATCCTCTGAAATAAGGCACCCCTAAGGGGGGACAGGCAAAAGACCACGTAGACACTCTAAGAATAACAAAAACTGGGCTTTGGTATTAAGGAAATACGATCTGATGGTGTTTCCTGTTACAGCTCAGTGCAACAGCTCCTTCCTGTCATGACCAGAAGGTTTCCCAGAGAATCTGTGGCTGCCCCATCCTGGAAGTGTTCAAGGTCAGGTTGGACAGGGCTTGGAGCAACCTGGGATAGTGGAAGCTGTCCCTGCCCATGGGAGGGAGTAGGAACTGGATGATCTTTAAGGTTCTTTCCAATTCAAGCCTTTCCATGACTCTGTGATTCCTGGAGGAGCACGGCCTGTCTGTCATGCTGAACACACCCAGCTGAGGGGTGTATTTCAGCATCACCTTCCACAGACCCCCTCCCTCATTTCCACACTCTCCTCCCCTTGAGCCAGCAAACGATTTCCAATTCTTCATTGGACAAAGGTTCCAAGTTTCCAGGGATTTGCATGAGAAATGCTCCTGTTCATCTCAGGCTTCAATGAGCCATCAAAATGTTCATCAGGGATCTGCCTACAGATATGACCAGCACGTTTCCCAGAGAATTTGTGGCTGCCCCCATCCCTAGAAGTGTCCAAGGCCAGGTTGGTCAGGGTTTGGAGCAACCTGGGATAGTGGAAGGTGTCCCTGCCCATGGCAGAGGGGTTGGAACAAGATGATTTTTAAGGTCCCTTCCAACCCAAACCATTCCATGATAACAAACCCTCATCCCATGACTTAATATGTGTGATGTCAAATATTGGGAGCAAGGAAGCTGAATCAGCTCACTGCATGGACTCATCCATCACCCCAGACTGATCCATTACCTCAGACTGATCCATCCCCTCAGCTCCTTCCAAGCACTGCAGGGAGATGTTCCAACCAGGAGCATTGTGACTTCCAGCTTTTCCAGCAGCCCAGGAAGGACAATGTGGACCCCAACATAAATCACAACCCACTGAAGCTCTCCATCTCCTCACCTGCAAGTCTGATGGGGTGGCTCCAGTCCTGGCCCTCCCTACGTGCTGGCATGTGTCTGTGTCCCCAAAACTGGCAGGAATCATCTCCACAGAAGGTGGAAACTGGCTGGCAGGAGACCAGGTGATCTTCTCCTTATTTCCTCACCACTGACTCTTCCCCAATCAACCAACATGCTGATAGTTGTTACTCCTTGGGCCAGACATGAGTAATCAGCAATTTTCTTCTTCCTTCCTTATTTTATTTTATTTTTTTTTTAAGAGCAGCTGGGAAATACCTTTCTCTCCTTCAGCAGAGTTTGAAAGCTCCTCCATCTGGACAATCTAATTCCCAATGTAAATACAGGGAAAGGAGGGAAGAGAAGAATGGTGTCCCAAGGGAGCCCCTCCACATCCCGCTGTCTCTGCCTGAGGTGACTTTCTCCCCCTTCCCTTGTTGTCCTGGCCTTTAGGAACAGAGCCAGTGCCCCTGCTGAAGGGGAACTGAAGAGGTGGCTGTAAATTGAAATTAGCATTTAGCTCAAGGAGTACAAAGCAATGATTAATGGCTTTTTAATGCTCCACCGTTCCACACTCAGAGCACTTTGTTTTAATGGCAGGGGATGGAGAATAAAAAGTGCGTGTATGTGGGAACAGAGCTTTGCACACACGGATCATTCTCACTCT